AAAACACGGTGTGAATGAAATATGAAAACACGCTTATGCCTTTCATTTAGAAACTCGCAAGAAAACTAAATTTAAGTTATTTACTTAAGTTCAAATGAAATTGGCTGTATTTATGAAAATAAAAAGTAATTCCCTACTTAATTTGTAGGAATAACTTACAACTTTTGTTAAAATTAAAAAATAACGAAAATGTAAAACTCCTCCTCTTACATTAAACGAAATATTTGTTTGTCCCACAGTATAATGGAGAGCAATTATACGGAGTTTTCAGAACCTTCGATAGACTCTCCAGGAATTGGCTTTCTGTTATAAAATTTTCAAATAAATTTATTTGCTTATTTAAATGCGGCAAAGAACTGAGGTCTCTCCCAATAAAAATAATTCCATGAAGTTATATTTTACCTTAAAATCAGTTTTTCTTCCCCTGTTTTTTTAAATTCCTTTGTGAAAGATTCCTTTCTTAATTTCTCTAAGCTTTTTAAATACGATTACAGAAATTAGTATCTTTTCAATGTCTATTTCTGCAAATGATACATTAAAGCAAAAGTAGATGTGATAAACTTAAATAATTAAATTAGACGTAATTAGAGGGTTAGATGTAATTTTTAAGTTTATAACAACAAAATAAAATATCTTGTTTGAAGAAGTGAAATACATTATTTAAATAAAATATTATTTCGAACAAGTTTTATCGTGAAGCTTAAATACCTTTCGATTTATTAATTTTCATTACATTTATAAATGGTTTGCAATATAAATTTTCTTAAATACAATTTGAAATTGGTTTTTTTTTTTTTATAACATGAATAACTGTACTTTTAGAGACAAATTACTATTAATTTATACTCTTTTGTCACAAGTGAAATTTTAACTTCTTTCATATATAAGTAAAGATGAAATATAATTTCCTTATTCTTATATTGTTATCATTTAAATAATTTATGTATCTAGTATTCAAAAAATTAATACCATAAATATATTCTCTTAATCTCTCAAGTAACAAATACTTTTTCATAGTTTTTCATGTTTCTCACAGGTTTTCATGTTTACATGTTTCTTTCATGTTTCACGTTTTGCCGTATTCAAATAATTTGACCTAAACTAGGAAATATTTTTCTCAACTAAATCTCTTAATAAGGAAATTGGGTTACTTTGACAATACAAATATATTATACATAAAAGTTTGACATAATTCGTGAAAAGAAAAGATCTGATATAACAAATTTAAAAACCAATCTCAGAAATTTACATGCAGGAAACTTGTAGAAAAATTCAGTGTTTTAAAGTAATACACATTTGTAAAGTTATAATAATTAAAAAACGTGTTCTATATATCTAAAACGTGATTATGGAATTCTTGCATCATCCATAATGTGGCGCTAAGTATCATGCATAGAAGTAAGTAATAATTTTGTGAATAATTTCGAAAAATAGCTGAACACGATGAAAGTACTACATTAAAATGCATAAAATAAATTTTTTTCCATATTATCTTTTAAAATTAAAAACAACAAAGTGCGAATTATATCTACCAAATAAACCTGACTTCCTAATTAAAGTTAGTCTACTGCCAGTATTTCTTTTTGTTCATAGCATTTAAATTACGCTTTTATTATTACATATTAATTATTACTGACATCATTCACTTCAATGTACAATAAACAGTGCTTACCTGAAAATGTAGCACAGACGATGTGCTCGGTGAACAGAACTAAAAAAAATGGTCGCGAAAATCCTTAAGACAAACAAACGCTATGCAGACAACAAACACTTTCGTCAGTCTCTTGCTAACATTAGATACGGTAGAATGTGAATCCATTCACCACAGAATATAGTTCAAGGCTTTCGAAGTACCACATCAATAAAAACACGCTAAAAACTGTTAATATTTTTGATAAAAATAAATAACTAAAATTGCAAGCTATTAGTATAAAAGAATCATTTATTTAGAAAGGTTTACTGAAACACATAGCAATGAATCGGGGGGAGGGAGGTCGCAGGATTACCTCCCATTAAAGAAAAATTATGTGAGCAAGGTCAAGAAAGGTCAGGGCGGGGAAGACTGCGAACTTCTTCACATTAAACGTTTGCTGCGACGTGTATGTTGTGATGTATATTTAAAATAACTTTAACTTTAATGGCGCTCATGCTATGCGATTCCGTTGTTGTGATGCACGTATTACTGTGCTAGCTGAATGTCATGTGAACTGTTTAAAATTGTAATAATAAAATTTTGAATTCTTGAGATATACTCATTAGTTGAGTCTTCTTTTAAAGTACAGAAGTAATTAAATTCAACAAACTACACAAGAAGTTACATGGTGTCAGGAGCAAAATGGATTTCAGACCACCTGCTCCGCTAACATTCTCCGTCGGAAATGTAAAAGTAGAGCACGTAAAATTTTTTACTGGTCAGGTATGACAAATGACATTGAGCAGCTTGTTTCCAAATGTGAAATATGTGAAAAATTCAGAAATAGAAATCAAAAAGAACCTCTAATGCAACATGAAATTCCAACTAAACCATTCGAAAAAATTGCCCTTGATATCTTGCAATTTGGTAATCAAAATTACTTAGTAGTTATCGATTATTACTCTCTAACTGGATTGAGGTTTCTAGCATAAAAGATAAGACCGCAAATGAAATTATGATAAAGTTAAAATGCATCTTTGCCAGGTATATATTGCAAATGAAGTCGTTTGCGACAATAATCCCTGTAATAGCTACTTATTTAAGAAACTTTGCTGAAGGATTGGGATTTTGAACTTAAATTTAGTAGCCCCAGATATCCTCAAAGTAAAGGGCTGGCTGAGAAAGCTGTAGGAATAGTGAAAAATATCATGAGGAAAAGTGGCAAGATATTAAGTGTAGGCTTATGGAAGATTCGAAATAAGTGTAGGTCCCCAATTAGTGGAATAAATTTGTCTTCCTGCATAAGTGTTTACTTTAATAGAAGAATTAAGGACAAAATTACCTATCAGGTAATAAATTGTTAAATACTAAATAAACAAAACCTTATTCTACATTTTGTGCACTTCAAGGCTAGGCAAAAATATTATTACGATGAACTCGCACAGAAACTGCCCGAGTTAAAACCTGGAGATAGTTATAACCTTGTTCAACTTTAGAACTGGGGAATGGGATAAAGGTGAAATCATTTCAAAACATAAAGCTCCTAGATCCTATATTGTAAGAAATTCAAATGGGAAAATATTGCGAAGAAACAGACGCCATATAAAATTTTCAAAATCACCTTACAAAGTTAATAATAATTATGATGATATAGTATTAGACAAAGAGGAAAATTCAAATGGAAGCCCTGAGAATGTTTCTGTGCTTGTTAATATAGGAAATCAACAGAATAATCTATCCAATAGTACAATAACAAGAAGTGGACGGTTGATTAGACAACCTTCAAGATATAGAGGCTTTGTCACGGAATAAAATAATGTAACGTATTGCATATATCATTTTTATGTAACTTTTTTTGTTATTGTATGTCATATTGTAAATATACTTGTATTGATATTATTTGGTATTTTTATTATTGTTTATAAACTGGAGGAAGGATGTGATATGTATATTTAAAATAACTTTAACTTTAATGGCGCTTATGCTATGCGATTCCGTTGTTGTGATGCACGTGTTACTGTGCTAGCTGAATGTCATGTGAACTGTTTAAAATTGTAATAATGAAATTTTGAATTCTTGAGATATACTCATTAGTTGAGTCTTCTTTTAAAGTACAGAAGTAATTAAATTCAAGAAACTACACAAGAAGTTACAAAGACATCCATACGACATTCACATCCACATCACAATGCGACATTTCTGGGACGTTGTGCCGTGGTCACAAATGTAATGAGAAGAAAATGCAGCATTGAGAGGTCACTGCAACGTCATAGCAACTAAGTGTGCTGTGTGGGTATAGATAAGACTCAAGCAATCATTTTTACCAAGAAGAACAAATTCAATAAAAATCTGCAACTTTACGGAAAAGATATCCTATGGGCCAAGTATCTTGGGGTGATCCTCAGTAAAACTCTCTCATATACTCACACAAAACATCTATCCATAAAAAGTTTCGAGTTAGTAAAAGCTACACTTTCACCCCCCTTAATTTCTCGAAACAGTGTACTTTTGAATAGATAACAAGTTTGCTTATTTATAAAACTGCATTGCGCCTTATGCTATCTTATGCCTGCCCGGTTTGGGCATATTCATGCAAATCAAATAGGAAAAAGTTACAGAAGGCACAAAATTGTGTTCCTAAGACAGATCACCAACTCGCCCTGGTACGTTCTAAATCAAAAACTTCGTGATGAATTAGGCATTGAAGAACTAAAATATTTTTATAGCCGGCTTGCTCGGAATTTTTATGCTAACCTCGCAAATATCAACAACTTTGTTATAAGGGTCTACGATTATGATGTAAATGACCCAAATAATTGTAAACGGTCTATGGCCATACTTAGTACTCATATTGTTTAATTTGATTTACTTTACCTGTACTGTATTTTATGACTTTTGCTATGATTTAAGTGCACCAGTTTTCTCACACTATCTGTATTGTATGTATTACATGTATCTTTAGGACTCAAGCCAGCTCTTTTCCCCTTTCTCAGCTCTTCGACAAGGAGTAGTGTCCTTGACCCAGGCACCCTGGTGTTACACCGCTTCTGAGTCTTACTATTGATTGTATTTTCATGGTTCGATGGTAGCCAACTTTTACGGTCTACGAGATAATATGTAAGTACTTAACGGTGTTCTTTGAATATGTATGCGATAAATAAATGTTATTTTGCCAATTTTACAGTAGTACTTTTGGATTTTAGACAACGGCAGCACCCCGCCCCAACGTCAAACACCCGAAGGATCAAGTAAACATTTACCTTATTTTTTATTGCTTTGAACTGTATTTGGTTTCGATTTTGATGCGCGCAAAATTTTTGCCTGGTGGAGCTCAATAATTTTGACTAGCCGATTACGTAATTCAACTTCAACTCGCAATGGCTACTAGAAATGAATGTTGCAGGGGTCGTCTGATAAAACTTGGAGAGTGGTGTTGCGGGTAGTAATACGTATTAAGTTGTTATGTCATTTAGTCTTTATTTCAGATTTTGTAGAAAATGCCTCCTACAATTATGAAGAGTATAAGCTCAAAATGTTCCCTTTGTGTTCGTCTGTTTAAGTGGTTTCCAGTTTTGTTTATTGCTACGATCGTTGCGTGGTCGTATTATGCCTATGTGATACAACTTTGCTTCTGTAAGTAATGAGTATATAATTTATATATTACAACTTATTATCCTTTTATGATTAAAGAGTATATGTTTACATCCTGTCATATTGAACCCTGAGAATAAACAGACTCATTTAAATGATTGTCTTGCTTATGTTACCAGTAGAATCGGAATTAAAAGTTCAAGTAAAATCCTACTGAAAGTGAGAAATAGATATCTTAAGTTAAAAATATGTGTTAAGTCAGTATTCATGCGTTATGCAGCTGTCAAATGAAACAACGACTGAAATGCATTGTGGAAGGTACCTTTTTTCGTTTGCTATATATTCTTTTTGTGCGAATTTGAATTTTTTTTTTTTTTAACTTTTTGCCGTATGTGTACAGATTTATCTGAAGTATTTTAGTTCATGTTAACTTAACTAAAATTTTTCTCTGTTCTAAGTATTTTTAATGAATGGATAAATTTAAACAGAACTGCAAATTTAATATCGTACTTATTATATAATTCAGCATGTAAAGAAATTTTTATTTCTCCTTACAGAATTTTATGTGTATAATGTATAATGATTGCATTTTTTTTCTCCTGTGGCTTTCTATTTAGAAATACTACTGTTGCAATATGATTGTGACTTTTTAAAAAATATAAATTTAGCATATTGCAGCGTAAATGCGCATATTTATCCACATTTAGAATAAGTACCTAACTGTATAAGGCACTGAGAGCTTTCCCCCCCCCTTGGAGCTAGCCATATAGTATAGATGATGGAGATCTGAAGGCTACATTTAGTTTAGCAGATACATTTGAACTTCATGCAAATGCCAACTATGCTAATAGGAAAAAAATTCTTTTTTTAAATGTCTAAATTTTAAATTTTAAAAGTAAAATAATGTAGAAGACATTTTGATTAGGTTTTTGAAATAAAAGTGGACTTTTCATTTGAAATGAATAAAGCAAAAAGCCAGCAACTTGTACCTAAATAAATTATGTGTAGACTTATATTTTAATATTAGTTATTCAAAACCTTTAAGTTAAATGCTGTTTTTACAGAGTGTGCTTGGTTGTCAAATGAGTTTGACAGTTACTATATTTGTTTTAGTTGGAAACTGGTGTTGTAATAAAATCTGCAGAAGAAAGGTTTATGAATATGACCAGGTTGAAGAAATTACTAATTATCAGGTGTCTTGTCCTGTAATCAGTGGTTCTTAGTGATTTGAAATCGATGAATGTATTTTGTTCATTATCTGCATTCATAGCAAAAATCCTAAAACCTAAATTAATGTAAAACTTGAAGGCAGATAGTTTCTTGTAAGTAACTTGTGAGTTTTTAAAATTAATATTGATTTTGCTCAGCAATAATGTTAGCTAATTGGGATTTGAGAATATCGGTGACAATTTAAATTGACAGTTTCCTATTTTGATGATTCGCCGTTTTGTTTGAATCTAAAAAATGGTGTTTTCATGAAATGAGTCGTAGCTGCTGTTCAGGCACATTTTATTCTCAATGACCTCTGTGAAGCTAATTATTTTTGATGATATATGGAACTCTGATGCAACGGAGACTTGCTTGAAGTCTTGACAGATGTCAACTCCTGACAGCCAGTATGCAACATAGTTATATACTTGCTTACATTACATTTTAGAGAGTATTTTTTAGGAGCTTTGAGGTTTGTGTTCTGCTGTATTAGGTAATATTTATATGATATCAAAAAATTATGCAGTATTTTAGAACTAAATATGAATTAATTTTATTATCATATTCAGATTTTAAAAAAGAAAGTATGCACATAATGACGATCAAATCTGCTGTGGAATATAATGTAATTAAACTTTATGCGTAAATAAATTAATGACTACTATACTTTTTAATCTTTGAACTTTTCAATAATTAATTTAATTTTGAATCTTACTCAAATTAGATGCATGAAATTTTATGTAAAAAAAAAAAAATAAGCACTACATTTCATAAATTAATTTTAAATAATAAAAGCACCGTTAATAAATTTAATAATCTGCACTTCTACCAACAAATTGCGAACTTGCTGCTGACTTTGGAGAATGTTCGCAAACTTGCTGGCAATTATTTTTTTTAGCAAACTAATGTGTGAAAGATAAAAGCCATTTTGAAATTGTTTCTGCACTAAGAATTCCATACAAAGGGCAATGAATAATTCTGATTTAAAAAACAATATTAATAAAACACTTAACTTTTCTAAGAAATCCTCCTGTTTTGTGTTGTTCTTCGCATATGAACAGTGCTTTGTTGTTGCTTCAAAAGAAAATGAGAGAATTGCACAGATTGAGCATCTGTACAGTTTCAGCATTTCGCATTGATCAAACCGATCATGTGCTACAAGCATCCGTAGGTTGCCACATAAACACTTATTCTGTACTTGCATATTATCGCAACCACCTTGGCCGGTCTGTTGAATTTTACAGAAGGAAAAGAACAGTTTTTTTAATTGTAAAAAAGTATATATTACATGCCTATATTTATTTTAAGTTTCAACTATATTACAAGAAACAATCGGTAAAACTGATTGCGAACTACTTTTATTATTATTATTTTTTTTTTTAATATTATGGTGGAAATTTCATTGCAATCACTTTGAGAAAGGATTTTTTCAAAGTAGAATTCCTGTAGAAGTTTCATCTCTGTTTCTTCTATCGTAGGAAAATCTCACAAGCACAAATTTTTAAATTGAGTTTAAGCTAAAAAAATAGTGATAATTTTTCCATAAAAGCTCATAATGTTTTTGAAAAATTACGGGTTGATATGTAACTATTTTGGTGACATATTGCTGTGCCGCATAAATACTTTTTTTTTGGGGGGGGGAGATAATCCGAAAGTACTAAAAAATTTTACTGACAGCTGTCAAGAAAATCTGTTGTTATTACAGTCAAAAGTCGTTAATCCGGACTCATCGGGACTTCGGCGATTCCGGATTATAGATTGACAGTTTAAATCTGGTAAGATGGCATGCAGAAATTATAAAATTAAAAATATCAAAACGTAATTTATGAAATAAAGAGCAATTATGATCTAAAGGGTATCAAAATTTACAAAAAGGAAAAGTTAAATATTTATTTGTTTACTTTATTAAACATTTCTTTCAATGTAAGTTGTTTAATTTGCTCCGTTTCATGTGATAATACTTTCTCTAATTCTATTAAACAGACATAATTTCTTGTTTAGTTACAAAGTTCCGCTGTTCAAGTCCTCTAATTGCTGTGTCGAGAGTACCGACTAATTTGTCAATGGAAATTTTTTCGTTTTCAATAACCTCTGAGTCACTTTCTTCACTATCGGAAGCGAATTATAATGACAAGGAACTTGATTTAAATCATATCAAAGACAGAATACATCGAGATGAAGTACTACATTTAGTAAAGAATTATAAGCCAAATAAAATAAAAACATCTGCTCTGAAGATAAGCATAGTGCTGACAGATCAACTTCCAATTCATTGCGCGCCGTGTCGTTTCCCTCCCCCCCCGCAGAGCAGCGTGAAATTGATAAACATATTTCGAAATGTATAGATAATCAAAGGATATATGCCTTTATCCATTTTTTACAGCAATTCCACTTTTTGTTTAATGGATTTCGAAAAATACTTTCGCTTTGTATATCAATATATATCGGAAATTCTATTTGATGTAATCGGAAGTTCAAACTTACTTTTATAAAATTGCTCTAACAGTCTGCAAAAAATAATAAGCCGGATCCAATTCGAAGATTAAGGAACAATGCAATCTGCAACATTAACTGAAATAAATAATTAGATAGTTTTAGCTTATACCGTCCGTTATACATTAAACGCGCATGCGGAAACGTATTATGCGCATGCGCACATGTATATTTGCAGCCGTAAAGGTCTTACGCGCAAACGCCTATGGGCATGCGTGAACGCCACACATGCACAGAAAGTTTTTAGCTTTGAGGTCCGGATTATGGGTGTCCGAATTAACGACTTTTGACTGTATTATCATTATTTATTTATTTATTTATTTTTTATTTTTTTTATTTTGATATACAGTACAAAGTCCGTAATTTGGAATGGTCTATAATCCGGACCTCGCAGCCACAAACTTTATGCATGCGCATGTTGAAAGAAATGTTTAATAAAGTATACAAATATTAAGCTTTTTTTTTGTAAAATTTGATACCCTTTAGATCATAATTTCTCTTTATTTTATAAATTACAGTTTCATATTTTTAATTATATAATTTCTGCATGTCATCTTACCAGATTTAAAATGATGATCTATAATCCGGAAAAACCCCTAATCCGGAATTGCCTAAGTCCTGACAAGTCCTGATTACAGACTTTGTACTGTATACGTGATTTCAAATATAATGCTTGTATACCGCACAAAAGAAAATGCAACAGTTCTGTAGCTCCCGTTCTATTGGGCCGATTGATGAAATTCAAATTGCATTTTTCATGTCTCGAAAGCGTGACTTAAGATATATATTAGATTTATATATAGCATTATTTTAACATAGGTATTTTTACACAAATCGAACTTTTCTTGAAATAACATATCAATTTCCTTATTTCGATTCTATGACTCAGATTATGCTAGATATTAAATTTTGTAATTTTTGGTGAGAAATTTAAAAACTTAGCAGATACTAATCCAGAAGTCGAACAACAAAAATCGGGGTTATATTTTTAAATAATAAATCTTCCATTGGAGAACTGGATTTTCTAGAGGCATTTCACAGTCAAAAAAAAATCTTTCTGTTATAGTTAATGATCCTAATTCCAATCCATCTCTGTCTTCGGCCTTTAAAAAAAATTATGTTTTAGTTCTGGTTTTTATCAACAGATGGCGCCACTAGCTTATTTTCTGTCCAGGCTTTCTTATCTTATCTAATCATTATATCCTATCTCATTCATCTGTGCTTTTGCAGCTGAGGATGGTGATTCGGTAAAACCATCGAAACGAGTCCTGTGAAAATTTTAAAATATAACACTGATTTGTTTTGTTTTCACTTCTGAATTAGTATTTGTTCGCCATGTT